TGATAATGTTGGGACTTCGAATTGGCTTCGTGAAATTCTTTCTGATAGATATTGATAGGTGATTCAGTGAATGTATTGATGATAAAATAATAGAAGCGAATCGAAATAGAGGTACGAAATATTTTATTTCAGCATGCTGAAATGAATGTGGAAGTAGCAGATGCACGTAAGAGACGTTCACTGATTTCTGACTTTGCGACTGCACCCGCACCACCTGTCTTCGCAGGTAATCTTTGGACGGATGGTGTTCATTCGATATTCGAAAGATTTATTTTTTAGATGTTTCCGTTGGAAAGGGATCTCAAGTATTTGAAACTAGAATGTGAGATCTATGAAACAATTATGAAATATGCGATGCATTCAGAGGGAATCAATTAATGAATTCATTTGAAGCACCGATTCGGTCGAATTCATCAGTTGGTGATGTGGTTTTGGAGGCGCAACGAATGAATCCAATGCGAGAGTTGATTTCATCGGCGAGTGAAGAGAGTATTGAGAAGAAGAAAAACTCAATAACGGATCGATTGGAGGTGGTCGAAAAAGAGAAGAAACATTTAGACATACAACTGACGAACATTCAGCGCAAAAAGGTTCGCCGTTAATCCATGGAAATTTTCTTTTTTTTGAAAATGAAAAACACATGCATTCTTTGTGTAATTAAGTAATTTTTTGTATTAAGTAATTTGTAATTTTCATTTTTTGTAGTTATCATCACACTTTTGTTGGTGATAGTAATGATTTTCGAACAGTTTACGAGGAGAAATTGCGAGCGATTTGGCATTGCTGTTCTCTGAAAAAAGATTAATGGAATAATTTGCGTGTGTGATTGTCAGGTTTCGTTGACACTAACAAAGAGAATTACGCGCAAATTTCGTTGAATTTAACTAATGCATAGGTGGTGGTGGTGAATAGGTGTTGAACTGTGATGTAAATATTGAAATGATGCGTTTTCATGTGATTGGTTCATATCATTGATCATCATTTAGTGAGTGCCGTTTCATTTTCATAAATCATTTTTTGAATAATGTAATTGAACAGGAGCAACACGATAGTGAACTGGCAAAATTGTCGAAATTGGGTGATGAAAAGGAAGCCGAGCAAGACAGCGAAGAGTTTGCTGACGAAAGTACAATGAGTTTGGTGGAGAGGATCTATGCTGAGAATCGTAAAAAAGCCGCCGAATCGCATGCGAATGCGAAAAATACACCTGGTTTACCTCCATTATTAGCCGGAAGTGTGGTGAGTTGTTGTAATTTGAGATGAATTTGGTGAATGAACCAAAGAAGTTTTGTGTGGTTTCATTATTTATTATTTCTGCAGAGTAAATAAGTATTGGTGTTTGGAAATTGTTTCGTTTAAGTTGCTGATTTTTCGTGAATGTGTATGAAGAGTATACGGTCTTGTGCACGGATGGTAGCAATTCATTACGCACGCAGATTTTGACAGTGGCAAAAACTTTTAGCCGTTGTATCAACATCCATCGGATTGTCCGTTGGTGCAAGAAACAATGGAACGATACAAAAAAGTGAAACCTTTATTGGTGGAAATGTTAATTGAAAAAGGCAAAAAAGAGGCATTCGCGCAAAAGTATCAAACTGAAAAATATAATGTGATGTATGCGGAATGGTTAGCAAAAGACGAGCGATATTGTAAAAGTCAGAAGAAGATGTTCGTTTTTTTCATTTCATTTCATTACATTTGCATTTTCCCCAACTTGTAGTTTTCTTAAAGAAGAATATTTCAATTGATTGAAGAAAATTCGTGTCGTCGAAAAAGAAATCCATTTATTAAGAAGAGAATGCAATGAATTCAGTATTTCATGACAATGAAACTGTATATCATTGAGTTTCGGAGCTGTTCGAAAAGTATTGTCGTTGTGGAATTTGTTCGTTATCATTGTGAATTTTACTATTTCAAATGAATTATAAATATTGAATGGAATTGTTTGAAAATTATTTGTGAGCGATGCAATGAATAATGATGTTGTTTGAAGGGCTCGAGATGAGAAACATCGTGAAATATTCGAGAGGACATTTCCCGAGCTGAAGAAAGCACGTGAAGAGCGTGAACGTAACAGTCGAAACAACGGTAACGGTGACGGAAATGGGACGAGAAAAACTGAAGCTGAGGTATTTAATACGGATCAGTTTTCTTCGGTTTTAATAATTTTCGTGTTTTTCGATTTCAATTTTTTGATTTCGTCGAAAACTTCCAGTGATTCCATTCAATTTCCATTGAGTTTGCTATTGTAGAACAGGCGATCAGTGAAATTTGATCAGTGTATTGGTGAGAGCACAATTTGAATTGTGAACGAAAAGAACGATGTGTCTGGTGAGAATGGATCTTTGCGAAAAAGTGTGAATATCGAGGAATTGTTGATTTGTCTTTCGAAAATTTGTTTGATTTGGTGTTTATTCAGGAGGAAGACGAGAAGAAACGACGTGCGGCAGCCGCACTTCCACCGATGATGTTGAGT